ACAGACATGAACCATCATACTTGGCATGTTGGTTGAGATGAAGGTCTTGCTGACATTTTTGCTGGACTGGCCTTGATCTGAGATCCTCCTGATCTCTGCTTCCCAAGTAGCTGGGATTACAGGAGTGAGCCATCATGCCCAGTTTACATGAAATCTTACATATGCCAGATTTACATCTTGATAAGGAAGGCTGCTGAGAGAGAAAAAGTAAGACAGAAGATATCGAGAAGAACTTGAGTACTGTAGGTAGAGAATTTAGGGGCCTGGAAATGTGCACTTTTTCTAGAATAAGTTTGTTAACAGGTTGTTCCTGAAGAGAATTCATGTATTTTCCAATAGGTGGTAATAACTTGCTTTGAAAATATGTGGTTAAGTCATCCAAATGTGTGATTTAGCTGAGAGAGTGGCCTTGCCTCTGAGTGGGAGGAAGCAGAGGTGAGGAGGGCTCGGTGACTGTGTGTGGAATAGATCTGAGCAGTTGTCGTTATCACTCTATCTGTCTATAATGGGAGCCCTCACAGGATAGGTTGCAACAGTCAGCCAGTAGCAGGGGTCAGTAGTTGTGGAGAAGCCGCAAGTCCAGTTTTCCTTGACTGGCACTGAAGTACTCTTTATTGTGCAGCAGTTGTGTCTGTTGGTTCTAGGCTGAAGTTTCCTAAGCCACAACATTGCCTCTGATTACTCTCCTGAGTTTTAGACACAAACAGCCAACTCTTTGCTGCTTTCTTCAAGTAGGTATTCTGTCAAGATCTCAAATTTCCTTTATTCCAAGCTGAGCTCCTTTTCTCCCTTCAACCTGCTTCTCTTTTTTGATCTGAATATGGTAACATGGTGGTCAATCCTCAGTTACCCAGGCTCACAGCCTTCAGCATATTCAGTCTCTGCCCACTTCCTCCTGTCACCACTTGTAATGGTCTCCAGTTCTGTCACTGGAGATTTCCACAATGCATCTGCATTTTCCAAAGTTGTCTTACACTTCTCTTTCTCTCTGACAGCACTGGGGTTTGAACTCAGGGCCTCATCCTTGCTAGGCAGGCACTTTACCACTTGAGCCACTCCACCAACTCCAAAATTGTCTTAAACCAGACTCATGGCCTCTCACGTGGGGACTATTACCTTGCCCTCTCATTGCTCTTTCTTGTTTTTTTACTCAAGCTTCATTGCAAAAATCTTGAGCACTGTAAATCTCATTAACAAAACATCTTGTTTCCTTCATCTACGGCCCCAGCCCCTGTTGCCAAGAGAATGTCATCAAAATATCTTTCTTCACACATATAGACTTCTTCTCTTTTGCACAGGACTTCTTTTTTAAACCTCATTTCCAGCCGGACACCAGATAACTATTTGTATACCCTGGGATGTTACCATAATGTCTCTGTCTCTCCTTCGAACACTCATTCTTTATGAAAACTTTTCTCTACTCACTCCCTTCCAGATCTTTTCTTTTCCTCCAGCTCCTTCTCACCAGGCACATTCTTATAATCCCAGCACTGAGGAGGCTGAGGCCAGCCTGGGCTATGCAGCAAGACTACCTCAAAACAAAACAAAATAAAACTCCTTCCCAAATATCCTGTCTTCTTTAATTCTTTCAGTCAGAATCAGTCCGTCGCTTTACTACAATGATATAAGACCTTTCTTTCCTTTCTACCAGAGTATTTGTCATTCTCTGTATAGCACAGACAGACATAGTTCCAAGGTAGACTTTGATATTTCATCCACAAGTGGATTGTGACATGTTTGAGGCAGGTGATAGGCTCTCAGATAATTTTAGGTGTTCACTGTTTTGTTAGGGCTCTGAGCTGGTGTTCTCCTTGGAAGAGTTAGATTTGGTCTCTGCCAGCACCAGAGGCAGTTCTGAGTCAGTGTGCCTATGATTTAATAGGCTGTAAAGGAGGGATGTTGAGCTATCAACTAAGTTAATTTTTCTTTGGATTATTTTCTCTCTGCAATTTTCTCACACTTTTAATTGCAAAAGGTGAAGATATGTCAGTACCTCTGGTCCCTTCTTTGCTAACTTCCTAGTTACAGCTATTACTTAGAAGGAAATAATGTTTTTTGTAACTTCTGTGAAAACTTCTCCTCACAAGGGAATGTAAATGGGTTCACGTCCACAGTGTAGTGTATATCTATTTTTAACTCTTTCTTTCCATAGTAAAACAAGGCCCTTAATGTTATCTGGCAGTAGATTACTAGTAGATACTTTGTCAGAGGCTTTTTCCTTGCCTTTGGGAGAAACCTGAACTCAATAGACTGCACACTGTGGGAGATTGTTTGAGAATAGGGCCTTCTTTTGGGAATGATAGCTAAGTATGGTGTAGCTCTTGAGGAAACATTGGCTGTGAGAACAAGGGCAGGGCAGACCCACCAGTGGCTAAGAACTTAAACAAAGTCATGGTTTCTCCCTTACTCGGGTGACTTCTGACAAATCCCCTACTTCTTCTGAACCACAGCTGCCTCTTTTATAAAATTAGATGTTGTGAGGATGAAATGAGTTAATGTGTATAAATAATAATGATAACCTTAGGGGAGATAGGCAAAACTACTTCTGTGCTTTTTTTTAATCACTTGTGAGTGATTTAAATCATTTTAATTAGGTGATCTTATGGAAGGAATTGATCACAGTAGAAATAATAATCCTTAAGCATAAGTTATGTTATGAAATTATCAAAAAAGGAAACTCTTTATTGACTAGTCGATATTATTGAAAATTTGCAACATGTGATAACTCTAGTTACTCTAGAATTAGTGTTTTATTGAGATAATACTTGGAAGTATCCCCTGTTGCTGCAAGTTTTGGCCTTGAATAAATCAAATTGAAGCAATACAATAAGGTGGGTAGGGAACCTACACTTATGGAAAAAAACTTGCTCCAAAGGGCAAATCAAATTGAAGAAATATAATAAGGTGGGTAGGGAACCCACACTTACGGAAAAAAACTTGCTCCAAACTTAACTAGCTAAATACACCTCTGAGACATTTTCAATGACAGTATTGTATACATCATCCCTCAGTTGTCCATGTTAATGAGTGGTATCCTTTGTGAGGTCATCAATGACATTATCAACAAGACAGAGGCATTATTAGGCTGAAGTCAATAAGCCACCACCCTCACATCCAGTGGACCACCAAGCTGCTGTCTGTGTGGGGTCGGTATGTGCATTGTGTGGATAATTAGAACCAGAACTCTCTTCTATGTTCCCAATTGATTGGGGAGCTCAGTTAGCTACCTTTGGGCTGCTAGGGTTTCCATTGTTGTGTGACAGGCATCCATAGGACCATATACAGAAGTAAGTACCTTTATGATGATAGTGTGCTATGACAAATGGGTGCCTGCTAAGTTGTGGCTTTTGGCTATCAGAGCAGCCTAGAGTATAAGATTTTTGCCTCAGGTTGATTGAGTATGATGGAGTCCCTACCAGTGTACACCAGTGTCGTGCATGTGGGCAAGAGAGTATGATTAGTAGAGAAAGGTTAGTAAAGAAGAGGCCTCCAGCCGCAGAGTATTCATGTGAAATATTTTTCTGGTAAGAGTCTTAATAAAAAAAGTCATCTTAGAATTTTGGAGTTTGTGAGGAATAATGAGATCAGAGGAAAAAATAAAGTTTTAAGAAATGCCAACTTCTATTTTAGTATATCATTTATAGTATTCCAAAATGAATTTTCTGTAGAATCATAGTTACCAACTGTACTGAAATTCTTTAATTTAGGATAGTATGGCAACAGATATTATACATTCAATATGGGTCCAAACATGTAACTGTATCATAATTTACATTGAGAATACTATTTTTTTTAGTGTCCTTAGTTAAAACTATCTTCATAATTAGTAAGTTCCTGAGTCATGAGGTATCAGTAGGGCATAAGGTGTGTGATTCAGACAGGTGTGATCTCCACCAATACAGGAAAATAGGGTAGTGGCTTCCTTGTAAGAGCTGGGTGTGCCAGCTGCTTTTGTGAATGGAAGGAAAGTCTTAGGCAAGTCAAATTGTGCAACTCTAAGTTAGAATTTCTTTTCTTTCTTTTTTTTTTTTTAAGGCGATCACACAGTGTTATCTTCTTTAATAGAATAAATGTGGTCAAGAAGACTTTTGATGGAATTTTATTTCTATACAATTTTTATGGGTTCTGAAAAAGTTAAAAAATAGGCTTAAGTCCTCAACAAAGCTTAAAAAAGTCCACTCAGACCAACAGTGGAAAACAAGAGAAAATAAATAAAGAGCTAACACAATACAGGGCTTTATTTTGACATACACTGTGAACACCAAAAGACTGCTTGGTCTGAAGGGCTTCCCCTTCAAACTGTGGAGTCATGCACCTCTGGCTAGCAGAAAACTTTTGATTTTTTGATTCTTTCTTCTTTTCAAAGTTCCCCTATTGAAAGGAATTACAGCACGTTAAATTTATCAGTTTGTCAAAGGATCAAGGCATGGTATCCATTAAGTGTAAATTCTTTCAATGATAGAAATCTAAGTGCGTTGGCTTTTGGCTCTAGTGAGATCTTGATTAAGAAGGGAAAAATCAAGGCAGGGAGTTTTACCACAATTTGAATTAAACACTTGCCAAAGAACTTGATGCAGGCCTAAGGTTTATTGTCATGATGAGTGACCCAGGACTTCTACCAGTTCTCCTTGTGCAGGGGATTAGCTGTTGAACAAATTTGCAAGTAAAGCATGCAGTTTTGTCAAATACACAATGACATTTCTTTTCACAGCTCTCTTGACTTTATACTGTTTAAATACCCTGGGCTGTCTCTAAATTTGCATTTCTTTAATTCCTGTCAGATCTGAGTATAACTTTTACATAATCAATTCCCTTGTTCAGGTTTTTTTGACTATTGCTTTTGAATTGTGGTATACAGTTGGCATGTTAGTAACATCTTACTTTGTGTTTCCTTTTCTAGTTTATAACATTTTTTCATAATCCGCAGTCTCTTTGTTGTTGGGATTACTATGCAATAAAATCCTAATTAACTTCTGTTTCCTCTCCCTCCCCCCTTATAGGCTAAGAAATGGCATTTCAAAAGGCAGTAAAAGGGACCGTTCTTGTTGGAGGAGGTGCCCTGGCCACTGTGTTAGGACTCTCTCAGTTTACTCATTACAGAAGGAAGCAAGTAAGTAACCGAGCAGGTATTGATTATATGTAATATGCTATTTAAAACTGCAGAAGAAGTGTGTATGCGGTGTGTGTATACAATTGGCTTTGTTGAGGAATTGTGGTTGAAGTTTCTCATTTTGATTTGAAAGATACTAATTTACAATACTGCCTTAGAGATCTCTGAGAGTGTGTGTCTTTTTTTTTTTTTAATGTGAATTTCTGTTTTTCAAGGAGCATTACTTAGCCTCTGTTTGGCTCTTTGGTTTTTAAAAGACTACTTCATTTGTGAGTGCCAGGGTTTGTTCATTTAGACTTGCTTTGTCCAGTTCATCAAAATGTCTGGATGCCTTCTATGTTTCTGCCAAAAGTGTTCTTGTGAGAAGACAGGCAGACCAGAAAGGAAGTGGGAAAGAAAAGGCCCGACCCCGAATCCTGGGTTCATTTCTTAGAGATTTAGTTACTTGGGTAGTAATGCCTTACATTAGGTAAACGTTTTCATGGGTGAGAGGAACATGATGATGGGATTGACATGAAGCTTGCAAATAATCTCTCAGGTGTTCAGTTTTTTCCTTCATTTTATTTTTCTCTTTTACACCACAACTGTGCCTTCCTGTAGTTCATATTAATTCTGGGCAATGATTTCATTGTTTTTAGGCTTAAAATGCTAGTAACCACCTCAGTAGTTAAATTTAGTCTTCGGTTTCCATTCAGCCATGTCATTTGGGCATTTTGGGATATCAGCCAAGTGGTATATTCCCATTCAAAGATGCAGGTAAAGGAATTTGTGAAGCTTTCTGTGACTGTATGATCTATGAGCTACTGATTTTTTACATTTTTGTGGGTACTTTTAAGCCATGGATGGTTTTGTGCTTGTTGCTTCTGTTTCTTTGGCTATAAGGTGGTGGAACAAGGTATATTGCTTAGTAGTCCATATTCTAAATGGGAAATATCCATTTATTTTATTATTTTATTTATTTTGAAGTACTGGGGATTAAACTCAGGCTTTGGGTGCCTGGACTCTTCCTCTTAAGCCACACCACCAGTCTTTTTGCTTTTGGTTTGTTTTTCAGATAGGGTCTCCTGCTAACTTTTCCTTTGGGACTAGTCTGAGAATGATTCTCCTGTCTCTGCTTTCTGCATAGGTGGGATTGCAGGCATGTATCACAAACCTCATAAAAAATACCACTTTTAAAGTATATAGTAGGAAGATTCTTATGTGCTGGTTTATAGTTAATAAACAGGAGTTTGTTTTTATGTGCCTCCTCCTAAAGATAGTTGATATGGAAGGGGATATGTTCATCTTTTTCATTCTGAATCATGGGCACAGTACCTTAGGGTTTCTTTCCCCCAGTATGTATGTTGCAGGTATTATTAATTGACTGACTTGCTTTTGAAATGCTTCCTTCATGTGTTTATTGTGCTTGATTTCTTTTAAAATATCACCTTGTTTCCTTAAAAATAATTGTTAAAGATGTTGCTTCTGCTGAGTCTATTTCAGAAGTTGGGGACAGGGCATTAAGGGATTAGATTACTTTTGCCATCTTTACCCGTGTTATCTGAAACGACACTAGAAAATGCCAATATCAAAGGTCATGATATCTAATAGTTGTTGCTAAATTTGTATGTGGCTTATGACTTTTAGCCATAATAAGCATGGTCTTCTACAAAGTTTATGGCTTAATTTGTTCCTAAGTAATACTGTTCCATCTTTTTTTTGCTTGTTTTCTCTTTAATAATTGATCTCACAGAAAAGAATAAACAGGAAGTACTACCTGCAAACAACCAAGTAAGGCTAGATTTTGGTCAACCAAGTCAAAATAAGGACTGATTGATTCCTAGAACATTTTGTCATTTTGTCCTTCCTGAGTCAGACATCCTGACTGCCCTAATAACCAAATGAAATGGATATCAGCAGCTTGAAGTCAGATATAATTTTAAGCTGACAAATTCTCTTGAAAAAAACTAGTACAGGCATAAGAAATTAACTGTGTATATTTCTTTTGTGGTGAAAACTGTCTCTTTAAGACACTGCCATGAGCATATATTTCAGGGGTTATGGTGTGATGTAGCCATAGGGATTGATCAAGAAAAAAAAAAAAGTGAGAGAGGAAACAATTTATTTTAGACATTGACATAAAACGACCATAGCCCTCCCTTAACTCAGCTGTCTTCTCTGAGAAAGTACCTGCCAATCAGAGCCATTCTAGGGGGGAGAATTCCTGGCTTCAGTAGTCTGCCCCTTGAGACACATCAGTTGAATGCATTTTTGTTTGTAGAAGCTGGGATCTTAAATGTGACTAGGTGTGTTCCATTTTCCTGCAGTGCTATATAGCATGTTGTCTGTGTACAGGTATATTTATCAGGTATAGTCTTTAATTTCCTAAGATGGTTCCAACTAATACACTGCCCTCCTGTAAGAATGAGTTGTTACTGAAACCCCACGATACCAATATCCTGGAAAGCCATCTGTGGACTTTAAGCACATTGTGCTGCGTCCTGCTCTTTCTGTCTCCCCGGCCCCTGGCTTGTGCATGTTTGGTATTCCCAGTACAAAGCTTCTTTCTGAAAATACAGGCAGGGTTTGCATGCTAAGGACAAACGGGTGGATTCTGAAAGTTGGGAGGGTGTTCAAACGCACTTGGTGATGAGACAGTGCTGTAGGGGTGTTTTACTGCAGACGGGCTCACAAAAACCTTTGAAGTCAGTCCTTCAACTAGGTTACTATGTTTAAGGAAAAGAATAGTAGGAAAATGATTATGTATATTTTTGAAAAATGAACTAAACAAAACCCATTGAAATTGAATAAGATGTGGTTTTGCTGACCTTTTACCTAGTTGCTTGAACCAAAGCTGCTTATAATTAAGGAAATAGAAAAAAGCCTTGTGGTGACTGGCATTTCTGGAAGTCCAGCAGGGGTTAGAGGTGGTGTTGATGATTCATTTGTTTAACTTCACAGGGTGGTTTTTCTTAATATAAGCATGTTAATTACTTTTATTAGTGATGAATAGTACCCACGTTTTTTTGTGGGGGGGCGCGAGTAGGAATTTTGAGGCAGGTTCTTACTATTCAACCTAGGCTGGCCTTGAATTTGCAATCCTCCTACCTCAGCCTTCCAAGTGCTGGGATTACAAGTATGTACCACCATACCTGGCAAGTGCCAACTCTTGACCAAAGTGAAACCTAGAGATTTTTGTTTTCTTTTTAGACAAATGATGGTAGAAGGTCAAGGCCATCCTAGCCTAAGAAGAGGACTGTTATTATTTTTCTATTGTAGCTAAGGCAGCCTGAATCCTGCATTGAGGAAGGTGATGAGGGAAGGGAGAATGTTGACAGATACCTTTTGACTGTGCCTACCTGAGGGGAAAGGAGTTTGTGGCCACTAATGATATCCACGTTTCAGGCCTTCCTTTGCATCCAGGGTTTTTTTTTAGGGTAGTCTCAGAGTAGCTTTCTATTCCTTTCCTTTCTTCTTCCTTTTATTTCCTCACCAATAAGTAAGGGTCTGTGTTACCACATGGGGTATTGATTTTTTTCTTCTTTCCAGACCAAGGGATAGGAGACTCAGTAGTAGGACAGAACCTCCCTCCCTCCTTCCTTCCTTCTTGTTGTGGAACTGAGGATTGAACCCAGGTCTTGCTGCATCTTAGGCATACATTCCACCATTGAACTGAATCCTCATGAAGTGTCACTTGTGGGGGAGCCTCCTTTTTCTAACTCCAAGCTGATGATAGAAGAGGGTCATAGAAAAGAGGGCCTTGGGGTGCTTTCAGATCAGGTAAACATTCATGAGAAAGGAAAGTGAAGAGAATTAACATGGGGGCTGCAGGAGATTCCCCAGGTAGCTGGGAAGAGGGGAGATACTGGGGAGAATGAAGTGAGAATAGGGTTTAACCTAGGACTACTCTGATCTTTTTTCTTTTTACAATAGGACAGGGACATTTCTTTGAAACTTTTTGTTTTTAACTAAGTACATATTTCATACCTTTTAGGTCCTAACTGGAAAAAGTGCGTGTGATGATGTGGGCTCATTTTCCTTTGACCCCAGTGGTGTGGTTGATGTAACAGAGATCTATTTAGGTTTGAGGGTGGGCCTTCTTGTACAACATATGCTAGATTTGTTCCTTCCATTACCCATTCTGAAGGTGTGATGGGCTTTGTGAGCCCACTCTGAGGTGAAGTCTGAGAACCACTGAGAGCTTTCTTAAAGTCCGGATGTGAAAGATTTTTCATTCTTTCTTTCTCTTCTTGCACCAAATATAGGCAAGGAGTGTGCTTCATGGTATCAGGCCTTTTTCAGTGTGAAAAGCGATCTTAATAGACTTAGGGAACTGAGCAGTTCTCAATGAATGACATTCAGTTCAAAAGCAATGTAACCGAAGCCAAGAGTGTGAGCTGTGGGGCAGTACTCCTGAACTGCTTGCATCCAACTTCTTCTACTTCCTAGGAGCTTAGTGACTGCAGGCAATTTACTTAAATTCTCTAGACCTTGTTTCTCCCCTTCTGTAAAAATGGGGATAGCAGTAGTATATCCCTCTTATGATTGTTGAAGAACAAAGAGATGTGTAAATAATTAAAAATTCACAGAGATTTTGAGAACCTTGTTTTAACTTGTATTTCATTCTCTTCATCTCAATACTTTATAGAGCAATTTAAATTACAAAAACTCTTCTTAAACATCACTTGTCAATGCTATCTTTTTTTCCCTTTTTTATTGTTCTAGGTGGGGGTACATTGTGGCATTTACAAAAGTTCTTACAATGTATCAAATATATCCTACTTGAATTCATCCCCTTCATCATGTCAGTACTATCTTTTCACAGTAGGTTATACATGCCTGTATCTTTTCAGAGTATAACCCTGTTTATTAGATACCCTTAATATCACTGAGATTTAAACCTCAGTTAGGAATATTCTTCTGGTTCCTAAGCAAAGAAGTATCTGTGTTTTAAAATCAGTGTAGAGCTTTCTGAACACTAATGTAGCTGAAATTATCATGTGACTAGTTTGCTTCATGTT